CTTAGTTCACGGGCTGTACAAAAACAGACCGTGGGCTGGATTTGGCCCACAGGTCATAGTTTGTTGGCCTCTGAGACAATAAATTATGCTGTGGTTGTTTCACGGATGCTGTCAGAAGACACGAGACTCCCGGGGCAGAGACAAAAGATTTTATTATGCACAGCACAGCAAGTGACACTTTGCCAGTTCTTGCTTTATGAGTCCTGAGTCCTAGCACAGAGAGCCCGAGGGGCTGCTGTGCACGCAATGGGCTTGGGTCACAGCCGAGGAACACTGAGCTTAGGAACTCCCTTCCTGTATGGCAGACCTACTCTTTGTCCCGGAAGGAGACGTTGCCTCATCCCTTAGGGTTGCTCGCTGCAAATACAACCTGAGAAATGAGTAGAGATGGAACTAGGCTGTGCTTTCTTGGCTAACTCAGCAAGGGTGAGTAGGAATGTGCCGGGCCAATGGTGGATTGCTTTTCTCAGGAGCGTTTCCATTCCTTTACATGTTCAGTCAAAGTGAGTGGAGTGTAGCACATGCCAGAAATATACATGGAACTAATGATGCAAAGAGAAATGAAACATGGTCCTCATCCTCAGGCTACTCACAGGCTGTTAACAACCGTAATTGCTCTGTAAGCACAGAGGCATGTGGTAACCAGTAACCTTTTTGGCATCATGGAACACAAAAGAGAGGAAGTGGTTTTTGAATTGGGCATTCAAGGACGCCCAGCCAAGGCAGCGCAGGAGAGGAAGGGATTTCCGTGTAGAGGCTGCAGCTCAGGCAAAGGCATGGGGGTGTGTTGGAGCATAGCTCAAGATCTGGGTGTGGCTGGAGGGCAGCAGGCGTGGGAGAGGCCGAGGGGACCGGGCGGGGGAGGCTTAGAGACACTGACTCATGTAATCCTTACATCCCGTCAGGCAAGTTGTTCAGCAAATACTGTGTGCAGAGCTTTTTTAAAAAATTAATTTGGAATTCTTATGTATGGGAGATCTGTGTCTTCTACAGGAGAATTATCTATGCTTTTCTTTACTTTTTCAAATTAACAAATAAAAATTATATATTTTGTGGTATACAATATGATGTTTTAATATATGTATACATTGTGGAATGGCTAAATAAACCTAATTAGCATATGAATTTCCTCATGTGCTTACCCCTTTTTTAGGGGGTGAGAACACTCAAAATCTACCCTCTTAGTAATTTTCAAGTATAATATGTTGTCATTAACTATAGCCATCATGATATACAATAGAGCTCTTGAACTGTTCTCCTAACTGAAATTTTATGTCCTTGGACCAACATATTCCCAGTCACCTCACCCCAGCCCTTGACAACCACCATTCTGCTCCTTGTTTCTATGAGTTCAGTGTTTTTAAATTCCACATATGAATGAGATCATGTGATACTGTCTTTCTGCATCTAGTTTATTTCACTTAGCATAATGTTCTCCAGTTTCATCCATGTTGTTGCAAATGACAGGATTTCTTATTTTTTAAGAGACAGAGTCTCACTCTGTCATCCAGGCTCAAGTGCAGTGGCCATTCACGGGCATGATCATAGCACACTACAGCATTGAATTTCTGGGCTCAACTGATCCTCTGTCTCAGCCTCCTGAGTAGCTTGGACTACAGAGGATTTCCTTCTTTTTTAAGGCTGAACAATATTCCATTGTGTCTATACACCACATTTGCTTTCTCCATTAATCCATCAGTGGGCACTTACTCAGGTTGATCCCATGCTGTGGCTTTTGTGAACAGTGCTCATGCAGAGTCTGTTGGCTGTAAATGCACCATCTCGTTTGCCTGTACAGCCTCTCGGCAGATGAGAAGCCTGAGACCTACCTGATTTGCCCAGGGATGCAACTGGCTGCAGGGCTGGGATTGGGGTCTAGGCGCTGGTCCCATAGCCTCTGCTCTTCTGCACGAACCTCTGGCGCAGAGGCTCAGGGAGGTGATGACATCTCCAAGGTTATCGAACTCATCGATGGTGGGACAGGGATTTGCACCCAGGCCCATCTGGCTGCAAAACTAGTGCTGCCTTCCCAGAGTATGGGGTTCTTGTGTGCCCACGAGCTCCAACATAATGGAAGGAATTAACTAATAATAGAAGGCAACAGCTTGAGTTGGAGATGTGAAAGAAGGCAGGAGACAGGGATAGACATGAAAAGGAATCCCCAAGCTCTCTCCTCCATTTGTCTTAGCTGTTCTCAGCTCCTCCAAGAAAAGGCAGGTATTTTTCTAGCAGTGGGAGCAACACAGCACTGCGGTCAAGAGCACAGGCTGTGTAATGTGAGCAGCATGGGTTGAATCCTGGTTTTACTGCTGGAACCAGCTAACAGCATGGTGTCGGGCAAATGCTTACTTTCTCTAAGCCTGTCTCCTCCTTTGAGTATGGGTTGCTGTGAGGATTAAATGAGATACTCTTTGTGAAGCACTCAGCACAGAGCCTGATGCAAAGGGCTGTCTGGGGACATTGACATTGGCAAGAGTCCGGAGAAGATCGGTGTTGGGAGAGAGGACAGTGAGTCAGACACTAGAATCTTCAAGCACTAGCGGAGTGTGATCCAGGGTCACTATATGGCTGCAGTAAGAGTGGTTGTGGTCAGCACAGTCCAAATATATGAAATTCAAGGCCAAGTGACTGGAGACACTGGGCTTCTGCCCTTGCTGGTGGGAGTCCATCAAACTAAGACACACAATTGTATGTGGACTGTCTTTGGAAGGCACCCTCCACAGATTGATGACTGAATGCTACAGGAGATGTGAGGAGGAAGAGTTCCTGTGGGTCAGAGCCCTGGAAAGCCATCGCGGAGGGCGGCCCCTGAGTGAGCGAGAAGACGGTGATGCAGAGCGTGGCCGGCGAGGACTCGGCAGTTTCAGTGTACTTGGTGGGGACCGCCTGGTCTGGGCGCAGCAGATGTGGGTAGGGAGTGGCCTGGGCTAAAAGGGGTTTGTTGGAGGCCCAGGCTGAGCTGGCTGGCAAAACAGGTACCCACCCTGCGGCCATCTGGGAGGCTGGTACCCAGAGCCACAGGCAGCAGGAGTCACGAGCAGCTGGGGTGCAGTGGCCAAATATGCTGGCATGAGCTGGACGTCGAGAATGGCCAGACAGGAAAGAGGGCTCGAGGTCCAGGTCAAAGAGGAGACCATTCAGGCAGTAGTGGATGGGATCGCACAAGACTAGACCAGGCCTCAGCAGGGGCAGCTCCTGCCCTGCTTGCTGCCCTCAAACCTCGACGTAGTCACTGCAGGATGACCGTGGGTGGCTGACACAGCAGACATCTGTTTCTCCCAGGTCTGCAGCTGGAAGTCTGAGATCAGGGTGCTGCCATGGTCTGGCGAGCGCCCTTCCAGACTGCAGGCGGCTGACTTCTCACTGTGCCCTAAGGTCGTGGAAGGGGCAAGCAAGCTCTCTGGGACCTTTTCTATAAGGGCACTAATCCCATCATGTGGGCTCCACCCTCCTGACTTAATCACTCCCAAGGCCCCACCTCCAAATGCCCTCACCTTGGGAGTTAGGATCTCAACATAAAAAAGTGGGGAGGACAGAAACATTTGGTCCATTTCAGGCCAACAGTCCAAAGCCTGTTTCTGCTTGCTGAGGTTACTGACCCTAAAGCAAAGGGCCATGAATAAGTGCAAACCAGCTTTGCAGGCACCCTCTGTCAGAGGTACTCACATCTGAAAAAGACAAACAGAAAATGAAATGTCTGCTGTGGTAGCCAGGAGGGCAGGTCCGGGAAGCAGCCTCCCTGATTCTCAGGTTGCATTGAGTAGTCACCCCCAGCCCCTGTCCACGTTATTGACCAGGTCCCTGGGGGGCGGGGACAGAGGGCTGAGCGTCTTGTCTAGCGTTTTTGCTTTTTAGCATTTTAGCTCCTGTTTTTATTTTAATTCCTTTTCTGTTTGCTTAAAAAGACTTTGAGTGCCCTTTCTGTTCAAGGTTTCATAGCTGACCGCGCCTCCCAGGTGGTGGCGAAGCATCTCTTATCCTCCTACCTCTGACCCCTGTGAGTTATTTTCCAGGGTACCACTGAGAAATTGAGATTTTTTTAGGAGCAAGATGCTAGACCCTTTGTGCTGCCCCTGAAGGCACTTGGACGCAGTAAGCAGCCGGCAAGGACTTGTTGGACTGACATGGGAATGATTCATGTCACCTCATGCTGGGCTCCCTGACAAGCCGTTCTCCCTTCCTGCTGAGACTGAGTGTGCCCAGGTGACAGTGGTGCCCTGATATCCTTGGTGTGCCAGAGCTTCCTCCTCTCTTTTCAAATGCCGAACCACTATGGAAGCATTCACTCTGTGATTAAATTGAATTTTTATCATGATAAAAGCCTGACTCCAAGACAGATGGGTTTCTCAGAAGCCTCTTTTCCTCCTCTTTTTCTTTGTCTTTCTTTCCCTCCGCTCCCCCATTAAGAATACCGCATTCTGTTATTTACAACACTTTCCTAAATTCCTGCATAGGTATTGACTTAGTAGCTGTGACCTGGGGAAGCCAGAGGCAGGACAGGGATCTCCTGGACCTGGTCCCATTACGGAGCCAGTGGGCGGAGCTCATGCGTGTCTGCGGGGCAGAGAGTGGGTTACGCAATCAAAGAATCCCTATTCAATAAATGGTGCTGGGAAAACTAGATAGCCACATGCAGAAGATTGACACAGGATCCGCACTTCTCACCTCTCACAAAAATCAATTCATGATGGATAACAGACTTACACCTAAGGCAGGAAACTATGAGAATTCTAGGAAACGAGGTTGGGAAAACTCTCATATTGGGTTATTAAGTTTGAAATGTCAGGTTTCCTTAAGTACTAAGTTTGATAGTTGATATCTCTGATACTTCACTTTGACACTTCTTGTTTTATTTTTATTGTGATGGTACCTCCTCATTCTTTCAAATGCATGGTTTGGCTTGTGATTATCTTTCACATTTATTTTTAAAGAAATTTTTATGAAACCATGGATAAGTTGAAAATTCATACCGTAGAGTATGAACTGCAGTGGCAGGAGTCATGGCAGGACGAGCATTTAGAAAGTTTCTTCCACTTTTTGATGGCGTATAAGTTGAAAGGAGTGCAGCTGAAACCGTAACCAAAAGAGGCATTATGCTTCCAGAAAAATCTCAAGGAAAAGTATGCCAAGCAACAGTAGTGGCTATTGGATTGGGCTGTAAAGGAAAGCGTGGAGAAATTCAACCAGTTAGTGTGAAAGTTGTAGATAAAGTTCTTCTCCCAGAATATGGAGGCGCCAAAGTCGTTCTAGATGACAAAGATTATTTCTTATTTGGAGATGGGAACATTCTTGGAAAGTACGTAGACTGAAATAAATCCCTATTGAAATGGAATCAGCATGAAGCTTCCCATACAACTGAAGTTCTGAAATCTTCCATCATGTAAATAATTTCCATGTGTCTCTTTTATAATAAACTAATGATATCTAAACTGTTGGAATCCAGTGTCTAAAATCTAGTTTCACTGTAGTGATATAAACATTTCCAAATAAAAATATGTAAATGAAAAAATAATTTGTGTTATTTTCAAATATGAGTTCCACTGTGGAACCAATGCAGCGCAGACAGCTCTAAATAGCAATGAAGTGTTTGGGAAGGATGTGGCTAATGAATTCACAGTACGTCGATGGTTTGAGAAGTTCCATTCTGGTGATTGTAATCTTGAGAAAATGAGCCACATGGGCGACCTGAGACCAAGGTGGATAATGATGAGCTGAAACCTGTAGTGGAAGCAAATCCATCTTAACCTACGTGTGAATTAGCAGCAAGGTTTAATGTTACTATTCCAACAAAATTGGACCATTTGAAACAAATTGGCAAGGTAAAGAAGCTGGATAGATGGGTTCCACGTGAATTAAACAAGCAGCAGAAGAGAAATTGTCTCAAAGCTTCCCTTTCTTTGCTGTCATGACATAAAGGCGAACCATTTCTACACCATATTGTTACAAGTGATGAAGAATGGATTCTTTTTGATGATTGCAAGTGTTCAGCACAATGGTTGGATAAAGATGAAGTGCCAAAACACAGTCCAAACCCAAATATTCATCAAAAAAAAACCTAATGGTGTTTGTTTGGTGGTCCAGAGCTGGTATTACCCACTACAGCTTCATGAGACCTAGTTAATCGATTACAGTGGATGTCTACTGCAACCCATTGGATGAAATGATTAGGATGTTTGTAATTAAGCAGCTGAGATTGGTCAACAGAGACCCGCCAATGCTCTTGCAAGACAATGCTTGACCACATGTCACACAAACAACAGCTTTGCTGTATTCCTTCTTTCACTTGGTTTGGCTTTATTTTTCTATTCATCTTCTAACTCCTTGAAAAAAGACATTTAACTTTTTAACATTGGGGCTTTATTTTCTAGTTTTTCAGACGACAAATTGTTCCCTAAGTAATGCTTCATCTGCAACCCATGAGCATTCATTTGTGGTATTTTTTAAACCATTCAGTTCCAAACATCATCTGCTTTTGACTGATATTCCTTCTCCACTCCTGGTCATGGTAAAATGTTACTTAATTTCTGAATACATGGGGATGACCTTCTGCTATAACTGCATTGGATCAGAGAACTTATTCTGAATGATTTCAGTTCTTTGAATTTGGTAATCATGCTTTCCTCTACTTGTTTAGAAATTACACATTCTGTCTCTATTCTTTTAATATTTGTCCAAGACTTTTACAATATGCATATTTAGCTTATCAAATGATAAAATGAATCAGTTCCTTTATCTTCCTCATGGATAATATTGATATAATTTTAACTTCACACCTTTACTGAATTCTGTTCTATTGCTGTCCTATATTTTACTTCTGTGTTTTCTTTTTCAACACTCGTAGATGTGATTGTTGTCATTTTACACAGTCCATGTGCGTTTTTATTTACTCACTTGCTGCTCTCTTTGCTGTGTTCATTCTCCCTCCCGTCCGGGATGCTCTCCTCTGTCTGAAATTCCTCCTTGAGGTTTGCCTTAGTGACAGTCTACTGCAAGTGACTTTACTCAGCTTTTTGTTTTCTTAAATTGTACTTATTATTGAAAGGTGTTTTCATTGGAAATATGTCATTCTAGTTTGGAGGCTGTTTTCTTTCAGCATATTGAAGATATAATTCTACTGTTTCTGGCTTCTGTAGTCTCTCTTATCAGCCTAACTCTTCACAAGTAATCATCCCCTCACCAACCCCGGCTGCTTTGAAAATACCTCCACCCTTTCTTTGGAGTTTTCAGTTTCACTGATTTGATTTGTCTAGGAGCACATTTCCCTTTTTATTTATTCAGCTTGGCATTTGTTGGACTTCTTAAATGTATGAGTGGGTGTCATTTATCAGTTCTATAGAATTCTCAGCCTTTAATACTTCAAATCTTATGTCTTTGCCATCTTATCTGCCTTTCCTTTTGGAGCTCCAGTTTAAACTAATGTTATGCCTTCTTATTTATCCTTCATGTCTCTTAACCTCTCTTCCATAATTTCCATCATTTTACCTCTCTGCTATATGTTGTAAATTTCTTTCAACCTAGCCTCATTCACTGAATTTCTCTTTAGTTGTGTCTAATTTGCTGTTAAAGCTATTTGTTCAGTTTTTAAGCCTTTTTTTTTTTTTTTTGAGACAAAGTCTTGTTCTGTAACCCTGGGCAGAGTGCAATGGCATCATCATAGCTCACAGCAACCTCAAACTCCCGGGCTCAAGCTATCCTCCTGCCTCAGCCTCCCCGGTAGCTGGGACTACAGGTGCACATGCTGCACATGCCATGACTCCCGGCTAATTTTTCTATTTTTAGTAGAGACGGGGTCTCACTCTTGCTCAGGCTGGTCTTGAACTCCGGAGCTCAAGTGATCCTCCCACCTCGGCCTCCCAGAGTGCTAGGATTACAAGTATGAGCCTCTGCACCAGGCCTCCTTGTAAGCCTTTTATTATAGTCTTAATTTCTAGGAATTAATTTCTAGTTTACTATTCCCTGTAGATACTTAAGCTTATCCTTTGTTTCTTTAAACATAATAAACATACTTATTTTAGTTTCAGGCACTTTCCCTTTATTATCTCCTTTAATCCTTAGGACCACATGATATTATGTCTTTCAAAGAGAAAAGAACACTGAGACATTTGTCTCAGGGTCTGTTAATCCTTTTTTACCATCGACCTTCAGCTTGAAATGGAAGCTCTGAGAAACTGAGACTTCTGAGCCAGAGAGAAGTTTGGATTCGGTCCCTGCTGGGGCTTTGCTGTGAGATGAGCTCTGCCTGGCAGCCACCCCTGTGACACATGCACACGGAAAAGAGGCAGAGTCGTTGATTATGGAACAAGAAGGTTTTGTGGAACTAAGATTTATGTCTCCATGAGCGCAGGGCCTATGTCTGATACATCCTGGTGACTATCATGCCTAGGGTAAGACTCAGAAAATATTTGGTGAAAGCATGATTCCGTGTTCTGGGCGCATAGCTGAGACACAAATATACTTACAGGAATAAATTAATAAATGACTAAAGTAGCAATACAGTTAAAACAAACAAATTTGAGCAATATTCGTCTGCTGAATGTTTATCAGTGTCTAGCTATGAACATTTAGATCAGGGGTTGCCAGACTTCTCTCACAGCAGACTTCCGGTCTGTCGGTGGCCATGGCTTTGGTTTTTAAACCAACAGCACACTCAGTAAAAGGTATGTGCCTTTTCCTCCTGCGAAACAAAGGACAAGCAGCATTTGGGTAAGTGAGTTGCCACGTCTGAGGTGGGCTGGAGCTATTGGCTGCAAGTCTGCGAATGTCGGTGCCTGCTCGACGGCCCACGGTGGTGGGACTGTGGGTTCTGGGGTCTCAAAGGCATCCATCCACCTGGGGCAGACCCTGTGCTTGTGGGGAGTGGAGATGATTCGCAGGTGTTTCTCATGCACATTGTAGCCAGCCAGAAGTGAGCACCACTCTATCAACACAGACAGAGGGCTGGCTTCCAGGGTGGGCGCGTGGGGCCTGGCGGGACACCAGGGTTAATGTGGAGCTGCGTGGCAGGCACTGGACATGAGGCAGAAGGTATGGATTTGGGCTCTGACCACCCCGCCAAGGCACTGAACCTTTCCCTAGCTTCAGTTTGTTAGTTTGAAAATAAAAGAGGACCAGGTGCAGTGGCTCATGCCTATAATCCCAGCACTTTGGGAGTCTGAGGCAGGAGGATCATTTGAGCCTGGGAGTTTGAGACAAGCCTGGGTAGCATAATGAGACCCCGTCTCTACAAAAAATTAAAAGAATTAGCCAGGTGTGGTGGTGCACACCTGTAGTCCTAGCTACTCAGGAGGTCGAGGCAGGAGGAAACCCAGGAGTTTGAGGTTGCAGTGAGCTATGATCACGCTACTGCACTCCAGCCTGCGTGAGTGACACCCTGTCTCTAAAAAAAAAAAAAAAAAGAAAGAAAGAAAAGAAAAGAGAAAAGATCCAGTATATGTTGAATGACCCCTGTTTGCTGGGCACTTCATGCCTGCTAATCCGCGTGCCCGTGTGGCAGGGCGTCCCCCCAACGGGCACGGAATGCGAGCTGCAGGCAGCTCAAGTACTTGCCTGCAGACACACAGCTGGGTGGTGACTCTTCATGACAAGGCTTTTCATCTTTCTAAGGCATAGTGATGCTACTGCGTCATCGTTAGGGGCGATGACAATACATAGAGCAACTGGGAAGATCAGGGGAACCTTATATTAACCAGACGGTGAATGTGCTGGAACGATATATTATACGAGCCCCGAGGACACGGGGTTATGGGTGTGCATGCTGATGCTAATGTGTAAATATATAAATAGGGGAAATGCATTTTTTCACTTGTAGAGTGGTTCCATTTTATCTACATTTCCTCCCTAAGCCATGGGCATAAAGATGTTATCATTTTGCCCCAGGTTAAGCCCCAGCTGGGCGGGAGCTGCTAGGTCTCCTGAGTTGTGTCGGGCTGTGAAGGCAGACGCAGGTGTCGCTGACACTGGGGCACACACCGTTGCAAATGCTTAGCTTGGGCTGGGGAGGGGCTGTCCACAGGTGGGACCAGGATGAGAGGTGCTATCACTCCCCCAAGTTGAGGGCACCCGCAGTGGAGATGCCAGTTGACCCTGCATCTGTCTGCATGTCCCTAGAGCCAGGCACAGGGCCCGGCATGGAGCAGAGCTGCAACACAAGATGGTGAATGGCAAGTTGTAAACTGAGGCAGGAATCCATTGTTGTGCACTGCGGCTGGGAGGGCTTCCTGAGGTGGCAGCTCTGATTAGGTGCCAACTTGATGAGAGAAAAAGGAAGGCCTGGGTTCTCAGGGGCAATACATAAGCGCCCTGGCTGGGCAGACCTCAGGGTCCCGAGAGAGGAAGGGTCCCGGGACAGGTGAGGAGAAGGTAGTGGGTGCTGGGTGTGAAACAGGACGATAACAGGCAGATGAGAAGCTGCAGACTGAGCCTGCTCCTTCCT